CCATCATTGGTGTCAGTGGGAGGAATAGTGCCCCATCATTGGTGTCAGTGGGAGGAAATCATCAGTCAGTGGGAGGAATGCCCCGTCATTGGTATCAGTGGGAGGGTATCAGTGGGAGGAATAGTGCCCCGTCATTGGTGTCAGTGGAAGGAATAGTGCCCCGTCATTGGTGTCAGTGGGAGGAATAGTGTCCCATCATTGGTATCAGTGGGAGGAATAGTGGTCCATTGTTAGTATTAGTGGGAGGAATAGTGTCCCATCATTGGTGTCAGTGGGCGACATGGTGTCCCAAGGGACAGATAAAGGCAAGCAAAGGTCCATATCCATCCTGAAGGTTGCAGTTTGGGGACCACAGGCTTATAACAATAGATTTTGGAATGAATGGACTTTCCCAAACGGAAACCACATTCACATTAAAAATTTGCTCTTCTGAGAATCAAATTTCCATCCCGTGCCTTCGAATTCTCCCATCACTGCAGTTGAAAATGAACGCCAATTAGATCCCACTGGGGATTAGAAAATTGAATGAACATTCTACTAGTGTATGGCCATCTTAACTCTAGTACAGGTAGGAGGAGACCTGTTTGCACAGTTACTCTATGACAAGGGAGCACAACTTTGGACAAATGCGATAGTTGTAGCAAAAATAAAAAGAACCATAATAATATTTTAGAATATGATAAAACGATTCCTGTCCCTGCACACTATCACTCATACAATTAAACTTGAATTTCTGTAAACATTGTTGTAGAACCCGGAACCTCAGCCGTCCTAGAAGGTTTATGGAGGAGAACCTCTGGGATTTATGATGGCATTAGACATACAGGGACAATTTCAGGCTATAGCAGAAGTTCACAGGACAATAAATCTACACAGCAAAGACAGCGAAGCCATTACTTCTTACTGCGCAGGATACTATGGTGACTGGGACATTCCCGAGGTCTGGTTTCATCTCTTCTTCCGCCATCTACTCAAATACTTTGCATTGCTGAAGGACTCTGCTCCTTCCTTGGACGTTCCACTCCAGAAATACTCTGCACTGCTGGAGGACTCTGATCCTTGATTTAACTCTCTTCTTCTGAAATACTGTTTAACTGGAGGGGCTATGTTCCATCCTCTGACTCTCCTCTCCTGAGATACTCTGCACTGCAGGAAGAATCTGCTCATTCCTCTCTCTTCTCCTGAAGTACTCTGCACTGCTGGAGGACTCAACTCCTACCTAGAGCTCTCCTCTCCTAAAACACACTGCCCTGCCGGAGCAGTCAGCTCCTTCCTCTAAATAGCTCTCCTCTCCTGAAATACTTTGTGCTATTCTGGAGGACTCTGCTCCTTTTCCTATTTAACTTTCCTCTTCCGAAAAATTCTTGCCAGGAGGAATATGCTCCTAAATTATAAATCTCCGGAAGTGATTTAAACTGATGGAGGACTCTGCTTCTTATATATAACTCTCCTCTCCTGAAATGCTATGAACTGCTAAAAGGAGTCTGTCCTTTCCTTAATGCCATGCTATTCTGAAGGACTCTGCACCTTCTATCTACCTCTCCTTTCCTGAAATACTCTGCACTGCTGGAGGACTCTTCTACTTCCTCTATTACTCTCCTCTTCTGAAATACTCTGCTAATCTGGAAGAGACTGCTCCTCTCTAACTCTCCACTTCAAAAATAATCCTGACATTCTTGGGGACTCTGCTCCAGCCTCTCTCTTTTCCTGAAATGCACTTGCAACTGCGGGAGGAGTCTTCTCCTTCCTCCAACTCTTCACTCCCGAAATACACTGTGCCATTCCGGAGGGCTCTGTACTTCTCCTTTCTACTTCTGTCCTGAAATTTTGTATATTGCTGGAAGACTCTGTGCCTTCCTCTAACTCTCCTCTCCTGAAATACTCTGTGCTGTTCTGGAAGATTCTACTCTTTCATCTAACTTTCCTCTCCTGAAAAACATTGTGCTATTCTGGAGGACTCTTCTCCTTCCTCTATAACTCTCCTCTCCTGAAATACTCTGCTCTGCTGGAGGACTCCGCTCCTTCCTCTATAACTCCCCTCTCCTGAAATACTCTGCTCTGCTGGAGGACTCTGCTCCTTCCTCTATAACTCCCCTCTCCTGAAATACTCTGCACTGCTGGAGGACTCCGCTCCTTCCTCTATAAACTCTCCTCTCCTGTAATACTCTGCGCTGCTGGAGGACTCCGCTCCTTCCTCTATAACTCTCCTCTCCTGAAATACTCTGCGCTGCTGGAGGACTCCGCTCCTTCCTCTATAACTCTCCTCTCCTGAAATACTCTGTGCTGTTCTGGAAGATTCTACTCTTTCATCTAACTCTCCTCTCCTGAAATACTCTGCTCTGCCGGAGGACTCCGCTCCTTCTTCTATAACTCTCCTCTCCTGAAATACTCTGCACCATTGGAGGACTCCGCTCCTTCCTCTATGACTCTCCTCTCCTGAAATACTCTGCACTGCTGGAGGACTCCGCTCCTTCCTCTATAACTCCTCTCCTGAAATACTCTGCACTGCTGGAGGACTCCGCTCCTTCCTCTATAACTCTCCTCTCCCGAAATACTCTGGTCTGCTGGAGGACTCGGCTCCTTCCTCTCCTGAAATACTCTGCACTGCTGGAGGACTCCTCCCCTTCCTCTATAACTCCTCTCCTGAAATACTCTGCTCTGCTGGAGGACTCCGCCCCTTCCTCTATAACTCCTCTCCTGAAATACTCTGCGCTGCCGGAGGACTCCGCCTCTTCCTCTATAACTCTCCTCTCCTTAAAATACTCTGCTCTGCTGGAGGACTCCACTCCTTCCTCTATAGCTCTCCTCTCCTGAAATACTCTGCACTGCTGGAGGACTCTGCTCCTTCCTCTGACCCCCCTCTCCTGAAATACTCTGCACTGCTGGAGGACTCCTCTCCTTCCTCTGTAACTCTCCTCTCCTGAAATACTCTGCTCTGCTGGAGGACTCCTCTCCTTCCTCTGTAACTCTCCTCTCCTGAAATACTCTGCTCTGCTGGAGGACTCCTCTCCTTCCTCTGTAACTCTCCTCTCCTGAAATACTCTGCTCTGCTGGAGGACTCCGCTCTTTCCTCTCTAACGCTCCTCTCCTGAAATACTCTGCTCTGCTGGCGGACTCTGCTCCTTCCTCTATAACTCCTCTCCTGAAATACTCTGCGCTGCCGGAGGACTCCGCCTCTTCCTCTATAACTCCTCTCCTTAAAATACTCTGCTCTGCTGGAGGACTCCTCTCCTTCCTCTGTAACTCTCCTCTCCTGAAATACTCTGCTCTGCTGGAGGACTCCGCTCTTTCCTCTATAACGCTCCTCTCCTGAAATACTCTGCTCTGCTGGAGGACTCCTCTCCTTCCTCTGACCCCCCTCTCCTGAAATGCTCTATGCAGTATTAGAGGACTCCGCTCCTTCCTCTGTAACTCTCCTCTCCTGAAATACTCTGCTCTGCTGGAGGACTCCGCTCTTTCCTCTATAACGCTCCTCTCCTGAAATACTCTGCTCTGCTGGAGGACTCCGCTCCTTCCTCTATAACTCTCCTCTCCTGAAATACTCTGCTCTGCTGGAGGACTCCGCTCTTTCCTCTATAACGCTCCTCTCCTGAAATACTCTGCTCTGCTGGAGGACTCCGCTCCTTCCTCTATAACTCTCCTCTCCTGAAATACTCTGCTCTGCTGGAGGACTCTGCTCTTTCCTCTAGAACGCTCCTCTCCTGAAATACTCTGCTCTGCTGGAGGACTCCGCTCCTTCCTCTATAACTCTCCTCTCCTGAAATACTCTGCTCTGCTGGAGGACTCTGCTCTTTCCTCTAGAACGCTCCTCTCCTGAAATACTCTGCTCTGCTGGAGGACTCCTCTCCTTCCTCTGACCCCCCTCTCCTGAAATGCTCTATGCAGTATTAGAGGACTCCGCTCACCTCATTGACTTTCACCTCCTAAGACAAGCTACAAGTCACTTCCATCCAGCAGACCAATGAAATAAATCCCCAGACGGCATTGCAGCAATTATAAAACCTTTATTCACAGAGATCATCCAATATTTATTAAAGAAACATTTGTGTCTTCCATTCTATTTCAGCCCAGAATTGTAATCGGTTCTCATTGAGTTTCAGCACAGTAAAAAAACAAACCATAGATATCCTCCTCCGGACCAAACATTACAATACTGCCAGTCTGTAGCCAACGGAGATGACTGATAAAATATCGCTCTTTATTTGTATCCCTCAGACGGGATCTGTGACATTGCTGAGTGCTTAGGGAAAAATATGCTGTTGTGAAAATTAAGGTGGGGGGAGGGGCTACACAGTGCTTTATCCAGTCTACAACTACAAGTCCCAGCATGCCTTTTCAAGAGGCTTTGCATAGAACAAAAGTGCCCACAGTTCATTTTGCACCAAATTAAACGTGCTTTCCAACACCATAACCCAAGGATCTGTGGCTGAATCTAATCGTTTTTGTGTATTTTGAAGTGTGCAGTAAAGGTGAATTCCAGCTTACCTATCTCAAGCAGGGGACACATAGCTAAAGTATATACTAAACCAATGGTCTCCAAACTGCGGCCCAGGGGCCAAATGTGGCCCTTTGCTTGCTTTTATCTGGCCCTTGGGACACTATTTCACCCATTGATACCAACAGTGGGGCAGAATTCCCCCCCACTGACACCAATGAAGGGGTGCAATTCCTCCAATGACAATTATGAAGGGGAACAATTCCTCCCAATGACACCAAGAATGGGGTGCAATTCCTCCCAATGACAACTATGAAGGGGCACAATTCCTCCCAATGACACCAAGAATGGGGTGCAATTCCTCCCAATGCAAGTGTACAATCCAAACGCACACGTTCCTGCATTAAAAATGGCTGTGTGTATAAGTGGGTGCTGCAGGGACCGTCGGCTGGAACGGAACAGAATCAGCAGGGAAAATGTCACCAGCACATCGAGGATCACCAATATGGGTCCAAAAGTTTTAATTAACGATCACATAGTTACAGCAGCTATGTGATCGTTTATTAAAACTTTTGGACCCATATTGGTGATCTTCGGTGTGCTGGTGACATTCTCAATTGCACCCAATGAGATCAATGATGCAACACAGTTTCTCCCAATGACACCAACAATGGGGTCAAATGATATCAATGATGAGGCACAATTCTTCCCAGTGACACTAACAATGGGGCCCAATGATATCAATGACGAGGCACAATTCCTCCCAGTGACACCAACAATGGGGCCCAATGATATCAATGACGAGGCACAATTCCTCCCAGTGACACCAACAATGGGGCCCAATGACATCAATGACGAGGCACAATTCCTCCCAGTGACGCTAACAATGGGGCCCAATGACATCAATGACGAGGCACAATTCCTCCCAGTGACACTAACAATGGGGCCCAATGATATCAATGACGAGGCACAATTCCTCCCAGTGACACTAACAATGGGGCCCAATGATATCAATGACGAGGCACAATTCCTCCCAGTGACACCAACAATGGGGCCCAATTATATCAATGACGAGACACAATTCCTCCCAGTGACACCAACAATGAGGCCCAATGACATCAATGATGAGGCACAATTCCTCCCAATGACACCAACAATGGGGCCCAATGATATCAATGACGAGGCACAATTCCTCCCAGTGACACCAACAATGGGGCCCAATGATATCAATGACGAGGCACAATTCCTCCCAGTGACACCAACAATGAGGCCCAATGACATCAATGATGAGGCACAATTCCTCCCAATGACACCAACAATGGGGCCCAATGATATCAATGATGAGGCACCATTCCTCCAATGAAGAGGTACAATTCCTCCCAGTGACACCAACCAGTGACATTGTGTTTTTTCCAACTGATGTCAGGACCTTTTCTACTCCCAATGGCCACAGTCCGGCCCTCCTAAAGTAAGAAAGTCAGTAAACTGGCCCTTTGTTTAGAAAGTTTGGAGACCCCTGTACAAAACAAATAATTCAGATTAAAAAAAAAAAAATAAAAAAAAAAAAATGAAGGTTTGGACAAGGTTGGGGGATAATATTGCTCATCGTGAACCGCTCTACCCTTATCAGTATTTAATTGGCTCTCAAATTGCAAAAGCTACTTAAAACCAAAAGTACTGATATATTGCTGGTGAGAGGAATAGCTTGAGCTGCCTGTTCTATACCATGCGGGGAAGACACACATTGTGAAAGGTATAGCAGTTACAGTGGGAGATAGCATGAAAACCTGCATCCTGCAGGATGTGGATCTCTTTTTTTTTTTTTTTTTTTTTTTTTTAACCAATATAGGATCACATATCAGTAATAGAAGCCTCCAATTTTCTCTTGGGAAAGGTTTGCTTTAAGGCTCCTTGACTAGTAAGACGGCCCAAATGTCCTGGTCTGCTGGTCATATGATTTGTGATACTAGCAGGTCACGTGACGTGTGACACCAGAAGCCTGCCTTGTCCCCCAGCCCTGCCACAAGATTTCAGAGACAGGAAAGGAAATATTAAACTGCAATTGGATCTGTGTATAGGAAGTGGATATATAGTATAAATGGCAGCTCCAGAACGCACTGTACACAGAACACACAAGCCATGTGTGGACCAGATACTAGCAACATTGGAATATATTTCTACATTCACTTGCCCTCCGGAAGATTTACCCCCCTTCCTGACCGGGCCATTTTTTGTTATACGGCACTGCGCTACTTTAACTGACAATTGTGCAGTCATGCAACGCTGATACAGTCTAATATTGGCTGCACATCCATTTGGAGCTTACACAGGAGTGAGGATTCTCACCGACTCCCATGTGGCAATGCTGGGTACCTGAGAAGCCAATCATCAAACAGCACCACTGTCAGGAGGAGGGGGTGCAAGTCACATGATTCCTAGAAACAAGAAAGCAACAGATGTCATGTCACTTCCACGGGGGAATGGATTGGCAATGGAGGGAACAGAATAGAAGTAGCTGGTGGGGCTGCCATTTATATGAATCAATTATTTGTCCTTCAAGTCAAAACATAGATCACTTCAAGGGTGCAGCTTTTTCAAGGGGGGGTTCAGCCAGGGGCGTATTTACCACAAGGCATTTGCCTAGGGTGGCATTTCTTAGGTGGGCAGCACTGCCCCCTGGAAGAAGGGACATATGCGGCATGAGGACCAGGTGAGATCTGAGAGAGGCTGTGGGCTGCTGGATGGTGTATGCAGAGCCCGATTGTCGTTCCCGGGGATATCCAGAGCTATATGAAGGTAAGTGTCTTTCTCCCTGTTGCCGGCGGGGGTGGGGGGTGTTAGTGGATGGCTCTCTCAGTTTGGGGGGTCACTGTCAGGCTCACACCGCAGGGAGGGTGTGTGTTAGTGGAATGCTTTCTCGGGTCGGGGGGTCACTGTCAGGCTCACTCCACGGGGAGGAGGGCGTCCAACGTTTGTGTTGCCTAGGGCAGCAAAAAAAACCTAAATACACCACTAGGTTCAGCTCTAACAAATTCAACTCCTTTTCATGCTACAACCTATTCCACCACTGCACCCCTTCCACCATTGCACCCTTTGCAGCTCTGCAACCCCTTCCACCATTGCACCCTTTGCAGCTCTGCAACCCCTTCCACCATTGCACCCTTTGCAGCTCTGCAACCCCTTCCACCATTGCACCCTTTGCAGCTCTGCAACCCCTTCCACCATTGCACCCTTTGCAGCTCTGCAACCCCTTCCACCATTGCACCCTTTTCAGCTCTGCAACCCTTTCCACCATTTTCAGCTCAGCAACCCCTTCCACCATTGCACCCTTTGCAGCTCTGCAACCCCTTCCACCATTGCACCCTTTGCAGCTCTGCAACCCCTTCCACCATTGCACCCTTTGCAGCTCTGCAACCCCTTCCACCATTGCACCCTTTGCAGCTCTACAACCCCTTCCGCCATTGCACCCTTTTCAGCTCTGCAACCCCTTCCGCCACTGCACCCTTTTCAGCTCTGCAACCCCTTCCACCATTGCACCCTTTTCAGCTCTGCAACCCATTCCACCACTGCACCAGCTTTCACCATTGTACCCTTTTCAGCTCTGCAACTCCTCTTCCACCATTGTACCCTTTTCAGCTCTGTAACCTCTTCCACCACTGCACCAGCTTTCACCATTGTACCCTTTTCAGCTCTGCAACCCCTTCCACCATTGCACCCTTTTCACTCTGACACAGCTCACCTGAGAATTCAAGAATCCTGTTTCTGCCACAGAGCACATTGGGCTGTGGGTGGTATTTGGGGTGGAGCCAAATGGCGCTGTCAGCATTTAAAGCAGCCCACAGGCCTAGGACAGGGAACTGAACTAATGCCATTTAAAGCTTAGTAAATTCAGTGACTTGTTTTTATAGATTAGTTAGGAATAATTAAACCACTGGGTTATCGATGATTCTAACATATGTATAGGCACGATAAGGGGTGTGCCTACTTGAGGGAAACAAATTTGTTGTAAATATAATGTAGACGTCTTTTCCTAGCACAGAAGCATCAACGATATCAATACGGCTAACCTGCCAAACTGGATTTGCACCACTTCATTCTTCTGTCCTTATGATTTCCCCTAAGATGCGGTAAGAACATCCCCTCTAAACCGGCAATGAAAAAGCAGATCTAACTATCACAGGAAAACATTTCATTGGTCCAATATCAGCACATTTATTCAAGAAAAAAAAAAAAAAAAAAAAGAGAATATATAAAAATGAAAATAAAACCTGAAGACATGACGATATGTTCACTTTGGTCTTCACCGGAATTGTTCTAACAAGGCAAAGACAGCAGGTTTAAAGGGTCAGCCCGCCAAGAAATCTGTCACTTTGTTTACTCAGGGCACACATGACAGGTTCTCTTGATAGGGCACCCCCTCACTACTGATATTAACCTTTTCTGCATACCCTCGCCGCTTCATTCATCCGTCAGATTTCTTGAAAATACGTTGTGCTTCCAGATTTAAAGGCGTATGCAACTTCCCTCCCAAGACAGTGTTCAGGCCTGGACAGCCAATTGTCAGTGTGAACAATGTCACATGGGGGAGGGGAGGTGGCTACTAACACTGTGTAAGCTCCAACACAGACAGACAAGGAGCTTGCACATGGATTGGACACAAGACTCAGACAGAAAAATGGAGAAGCAGTATAGAATCATTGAGTGGAGTTTGGGGGGGGGGGGTGCCCTAACAAGGCAAACAAAGGACCTGCTGCCTTCTGCGTTGATAAAACTTTATTGTTCTGAACAATGAACACAAGATTCTTCTCCCTGGACATATTTCATTGTAGCTTTTTCCAGGTGAAATGCAACAGCAGTGAGGAGGGTCCGGGCAAACCTGCGTTCACTTTTCAGAACAATCAAGTTTTATTATTGATGATATTATCAGAGTGCAGATGATCACTTGCCTGTGACATGTGGGTAGCGGGCTGACTGAGGACAAGGTAGCGCTGGCCTCTCCTGGTGCTTTAAGAAAACCTTTCATGTCTGAGAGCTCATGGACTAAACACCCCACTGGTTTCTTACAACTCAAGAACGTCAACAGTAAACTCTCTGCAGTTCCCAGCTCCGCCCATTTCATTCAGTCATTCTAAGGAACTGCCACTTTCTCTGGTGAATTTTCTCTAATTATAAGTGATGAGAAGTGAGACTCTTTGGTATGGTGGAGCCAGAATTTTCAGACTGTTACTGTCACCATTGGAGTATCTGAGAGGTGTAAAAAGCCAGTGGGTAATTCAGTCCAGCCACCTAAATATCGGTTTTAACCCTTTGAACGTGAATGCTACCCTAAACGGAAGTGAGTGACCACTGGTTGGTTGCATGCTACCCTAAACGGAAGTGAGTGACCACTGGTTGGTTGCATGAGCTTCTGGTTTTTATACCTTTCAGAGGCTTAAAGCCGAACTCCAGGAATACCACGACTTGAAATAGTTTGTGTGGACCAAGCTGGCCCTAACAAAGCATTTTGTTTTTTTTGCAAATTGATGCAATGATTCTATGTAGCATCAGCTACATACAGTATACAGTGCTGTCTTCCAACAGCGTTCACAGGGACTTCCCGTACCGTGCCCGAAACAAAAGCAAGTCAGGCTGAGCACTCCTCAGCCATTCACAGGAAGCCTTGTGTTTTTCTGAATGAATAGAAGGCTTCCTCCGGTTGGCTGAGGTGGAGATGATGACATCAAAAGAAGCCTCCAGTTTTTCTGAATAAATACAAGGCTTCCTCTGAGATGGAGATGGTGACATCAGAGGAAGCCTCAAGTTTTAGTGAATGAATACAAGGCTTCCTCTGAGGTGGAGATGATGACATCATAGGAAGCCTTGAGTTTTGCCTAATGAATATAAGGCTACCTCTGGTTGGCTGAGGTGGAGATGATGACATCAAAAGAAGCCTCAAGTTTTTCTGAATAAATACAAGGCTTCCTCTGAGGTGGAGATGGTGACATCATAGGACACCTCGAGTTTTTCTGAATGAATACAAGGCTTCCTCTGAGGTGGAGATGGTGACATCATAGGAAGCCTTGAGTTTTTCTGAATGAATACAAGGCTTCCTCTGAGGTGGAGATGGTGACATCATAGGACACCTCGAGTTTTTCTGAATGAATACAAGGCTTCCTCTGAGGTGGAGATGGTGACATCATAGGAAGCCACGAGTTTTTCTGAGTAAATACAAGGCTTCCTCTGAGGTGGAGATGATGACATCATAGGAAGCCTTGAGTTTTGCCTAATGAATATAAGGCTTCCTCTGGTTGGCTGAGGTGGAGATGATGACATCAAAAG